CAGCGCATTACAGTTTCTACTTATGAGCAGAGATGGGACAACTCAGTTCCCATTGAAACCCATGTAAATCTTGTCTGCATTGGAGTCAAAACATCCTGTGCACTGCACAGTGTGCAGTGTACAGGATATATATATATATATATATATATATATATATATATATATATATATATATATATATATATACCACGTATTGTGATTTCTAGCTCGTAGTGAAAAAAAATATTTATTTGAATATCTCGCAAAAAGTAAAATGAACTGAACTTTGAACTAGTTCAGAATTAAAATTGAGAACTTCGAACGTGAACTGTTCACTTTGAGCATATATGAACTGAACTTGAACTAGTTCAGAAAAGCTGTGAACTGGCACAACACTGGCCAAAGCTTTACTGTCATTGGGCCAGAGAAAAATTAAACAAATGTGACGTCACACGTCGGCTACACAGCCAGGCCAGCCTAGCAGTGCACCCAGTGTAGCTTCCCCGGTTGAAATGAGTGGTCTCTCCAACTGATGGTTCATACACGTTTTTATTTTTCCTTTTATATGAGCTGTAACAATGTGATTTTACCTTACTACTTTTTTAACAATAATTGATTAGCTTGTTATAGTTATACACTAATGAACACTTAGTTCATTGTGTGTGTGTGTGTCTTTATTCTCACTAAACTCCATAAACGTTACGTTGCTAAGCAACGTACAACAATCCTTAAACGTCCGAGATTATATAAACAGTTGATGCATCATCTCAAGAAATGCTGCACACGTTGTTTATATTTTCAGTGATTTCATATTAGTGGGGTCTAGTCTGACAACACAGTCAATATAAAAAATAATAAACAAAACAAAAGTTTTGACAGTCAATCTTAAAACTATTAAAAGAACATCAAAATACAATGACAAAAACCCAAATTTAGAACCTTGTTTGGCCTGAATGGATGAAAAGCTCCCGGCCTGAAATGTTGTCCCACTCCGGCCCTGGTGAGATCTAATGTTAAAATGTTTATTTACAATCTATGGTCTAACGTGTTGTGTTTGAAATGATGCTTCATGAACTATGAACTATTTGAGTCTTTCAGTCAATTGTGTTGATACAACAAACACATCCAAAGTAATACAGTTCTACAGAAAGTGATTAATGGAGGAAAAACTACCAAGAAGTGGATTAATTAAACACAACAAACCATTTATTCCCAATAAATAAATACATTTACTTTGCAACACAACATTTATTATGGGTAGACCAGGATTCGAACGCTATATCTTCTACTTCGGAGTCCGTCATAGACCGACTGCGCCACACAGCTGTTGTGAAATGTATTATCCAGCATATTATTACTACTAACTTGAAGCCTTGATATATGAGGTTTTACTAAAGTGAAACGTTTTTAATTGTATTTCATATGAAGTAGTTTCTCTATAGTGCAGGACTGCTCCACATCACGCACACACACGTACGCACACAGAGGCAGACGGGGACAGCCAATACAGTCTATGGTACAGCCGCGGATCACAAAGCACCTGTCAAAGCAATGCACTCTCCGAACTATATGAAGCACTATATGAACCGTCACGTGGTGCGGCCGCTACGCGAGGCTTCGAACGTCACCACATACGTCACCAACACACGCCTCGAATCACGCTTCAAAAAATACGCCCCTTTTTTACTCGGTACACGCTTCAAAGACCCGGCACGCTCAGCACATCACTACTGCCGTCCCTCCAAACTGTCATCTCAAACAAGGAGAAGACTGATCAGAGATGCAGCCAAGAGCCCCATGATCGCTCTGGATGAACTGCAGCTGCTGAGGTGGGAGAGTCTGTCCATAGGACAACAATCAGTCGTGCACTGCACAAATCTGGCCTTTATGGAAGAGTGGCCATTTCTCAAAGATATCCATAAAAAGTCTTGTTTAAAGTTTGCCACAAGCCACCTGGGAGACACACCAAACATGTGGAAGAAGGTGCTCTGGTCAGATGAAACCAATATCGAACTTTTTGGCCACAATGCAAAACGATATGTTTGGCATAAAAGCAACACAGCTCATCACTATGAACACACCATCCCCACCTCAGGTGTAGTTATCTGCAGTTCATCCAGAGCGATCATGGGCCTCTTGGCTGCATCTCTGATCAGTCTTCTCCTTGTTTGAGATGAAAGTTTGGAGGGACGGCCAGGTCTTGGTAGATTTGCAGTGGTCTGATACTCCTTCCATTTCAATATAATTGCTTGCACAGTGCTCCTTGAGATGTTTAAAGCTTGGGAAATCTTTTTGTATCCAAATCCGGCTTTAAACTTCTCCACAACAGTATCTCGGACCTGCCTGGTGTGTTCCTTTGTCTTCATGGTTCTCTCTGCGCTTTAAACAGAACCCTGAGACTATCAAAGAGCAGGTGCATTTATACGGAGACTTGATTACACACAGGTGCATTCTATTTATCATCATCAGTCATTTAGGACAACATTGGATCATTCAAAGATCCTCACTGAACTTCTGGAGTGAGTTTGCTGCACTGAAAGTAAAGGGGCCGAATAATATTGCACGCCCCACTTTTCAGTTTATTTGTTAAAAAAGTTTACACACAGTAGCTCAGTTGGTAGAGCATTGGCCTTTGGGCCTGAAGGTCGTGGGTTCAAGCCCACCATAAGACCTACTTCACGACTCCCTCTGATGACTGCTGTCGTTGTGTCCTTGGGCAAGACACTTAACCCCACTTTGCCTGAAGCTCCCACTGAAAGATCTCAGCTCCTGTGGACTCACCACCTGCAGGAGGATCAGTGAGGGGCTGGTGCTAAGTGGACTGGGTGCAGCTCTGACTGCCACCCCCCTGACCCAGAAATGGATTAAGGGGAAGAAAATGGATGGATGGATGGATGGATGGAAAAAAGCTTAAATTATCCAACAAATTTGATTCCACTTCACAATTGTGTCCCACTTGTTGTCGATTCATGACAAAAAAATAAAATTTTATATCTTTATGTTTGAAGCCTGAAATGTGGCAAAATGTTGAAAGGTTCAAGGGGACCGAATACTTTCGCAAGGCACTGTATGTTCATTCTAAAACAGTGCAGCAGACGTGTTTGTCCAGCATGGAATGGACAACATGTTAACTAAAGAAAGGCCCTGTTCCGACCGGGAACCAGAACATTCTTGCTGAGACACAAGAGTGCTAAGTTATCATGATTAGCTTAACATAATGGATGATCATAATCTTGTTTGATTTATATTACTCAATCACATTTTTTAAAATTGGAATTCAGTGACTTATTTCAGAGGTTTCCACGTGCCCCCTGCCCTTCCAATCAGATGCCACCTTGCCCTTTTTGCCTGAAATGTTGAACACTGCAATTCGCGGCATACAACGCTAAATAGAAAAATACTTGTACCGACAAATTAAAACACTCCAAAAATTAACCAGCGCTCTACAGTGCAGTGAAAGCACTCGGAGATTTGCACATGAACTATATTTGCAGGTACAGCAAACACCAGAAGAGGGCACTATTTTCCATTTTACCAAGATTTAACTGCACTCATTAACTGTGCCAATCATAAGACAACTGCAGGAATGTGGAGTCTGTGTTCCTGTACTATAAAAGGGACACTACATGTTTCGGTTCAAGGCATGTACCTTGACACACCGCTGCTACAGACCCACCTACCTGAGCCCAGTCGCTCCTACTGCAGTGTCCAGAGATGACTTTTTTATCGTTTAACCAGAAGAGGGTTTTCTATCCACCATGACCAGGAGGATCCATAACGGGCAATATGTCCAGGAACAATAAGGAAAGGAACCCAAACTTTTAGCAAAGGAAATGGGAGAAGTGATTGAGCGATCAAGCTCCACTCCTCTTGTCACGTCCCCAAGTCACTCGTCTGCACATCCCCTATTGGAAATGGATGGGAGCTGAAAGCTCAAAACACTGGTAGAGTGAGTCCACTTCTGGAAAGAGAAAACTTCAAAAATGTGCTTTTGAATCATCCCAATTTGATAGCCATCCCCTTAGGCAAGCTATAGCATGAACATTTTGTGGAAGACGGAAAATTTTGAGCAGATGAGACACGTAAAGACCTTTGATTCTTAATGTTCAGAGCAAAAAGCAGTGGAGCGGATTGCAAAGAGGCTGCAGCAAAGTGTGCCTTCAAATTCAATTACTATTACCTGGCTGTTTAATTTATGATTATTGGAATATATATTGGGATTTATGCGGAGAAAGCTTCATCCATTGTTCATGTGCAATCCGAAGGCTGATTTGGACTGCAGCTGATGGACTGATGAAATAAAGATAAAGGAATGAATAAAAGACGAGTTTAGAGGAGAGAAGAGGAAGGACAAAAAAGTGCAGGTAGGGAAAGAGAACTTGTGACAACTAATTTAAGCGGCCATGCATAATATGTGTTCATTTGGGTTTATATCTTAGAATGAGAAAACACACAAATGTTTTTTTCCCCTCTTTATTCATCACATTTGTATTTGGAAATTACAATTACAAATATTCTCAAAACAAAATCAGTTTACACAATATGCTTTGGCTTGTGTCCAAAGAAGTCAAGAAGTGTCGGAACGAAGACCCAAGACAACACGTTGAAACTGCTCAAATCCCCATTGATAAACGGATGGATTGGACACCTGTAGCAAAAACTGAAACAAATGATAATCTGTTCCTCTTTGATAATTTTATCAAGTTTAAAGCAGGGCTGTCCACACAGGGGACACTAATTGAACGGAGGACAGAAAAACAGTTATTTATCCGTTAGAACACTCTGGAATAACATTGTGTTTTTAACCATGTTACAAAAGTTCAAAGTGAAACTTTGAAAGTTCTTTAATTTGGTGGCAACATGTGTTGCAGCGGAAATGGGTTCTTCTTTAATTTGGGGGAAAATTAAGGGTTTTCCTTTAGGGTTATCATAGCACAAGCAGGGCATTTGGGTACACGTTTGTATAGGGAGAAACCCCTTATATGCAGTTTGTCTTTTTGCTGAACTGGTTCAGGGTCTCCTCAGGCCATGGTCTGTTTGCTGAATAGGTCCAGGGTCACAGTGGACAGGAACACTGGGATACTCTTCTGGTGGTGCAGGTGGAGAGACACCATCTCCTCCAGCGTCTTGGAGAACTCTGTCTCCATAAGCTGCATGCTGCCGTTGGAGCCCTGGAGGACAAGATAACAGAACACACTTTCAGATGTCTGCAGGTAGTATTTACGCGCTGAGGAGCTCTCCTGGTGCAGGGTAGACCACCTGCTTTCCAAAAGTCACTTTCCGTACTTCCAAAACTCTTGACATTACTCAAAATAAAAATTAACTTCCAGTGCTATGCAGATGACAACCAGCTCATCCCGCCTATGAAGCCAAATCAGACAGTTCAGTTAGAAAGGCATGGTGCCTGCATAAAAGACCTAAAAAATTGGATGACCCTAAACTACCTGGTCCTTAACCAGGAAAAAAATCCGGACTATATCTTACCGTTGTTAAAAGGAAAATTTAGGAATATGTTCCTAAAAAATCTGATCCAAGCATTTGTCAACTCAAGTCTGGACTGCTGCCTTGTTGGCAGCATGCCCTGAATTCCTCTATAAAAAGCTTCCAGCTCGTTCAAAATACAGCAGCAAGGATCTTAACAGGCATACAGTGCACATTTTGTCATGTTTACAACCATAAACAAAGATTTTAGTCTGAATGTTTTGCAGAAAGTTCACACATAAGTAAGATAAATCTTTAGTGAAAGTTAAGTGAAAGCAAAAACATACATGATATTGTTATTCAAATAATAAAACAGGGGACATGTAGAAGTATTCATACATACAAAGGAAGGTTGCTCACCCATCATCTGTACGTGAGTTATCAGGGAAAACCTGCTAACTCGCTTACAGATGATGGATAAGCAACCTTCCTTTGTTTTGACTAATCCCAGTACGTCTGAGATCTTCCACAAACTATTCATACATTTATCAGAGTGTATTAAATATCCTTAAAAACATACCAACAATGATTAAATAGATTTAAGCTGTGTGTAATCTACACCCAGAATAATTACAGCTGTTCAGCTGGTCCGAGTGTACTGGTCACCAAACGACAATGATGAAAGAGTAGAGCACAGAGGCAAACACATCTCGATCAAGGACAATACTGATCACAGATGCAGACATGACGCCTATGATTACTCTGGAGGAACTGAAAACATCCACGGCTGACCTGGAATCTACGCATGAAGAAATTATGAATCATACACTACATAAATCTGGAATTCAGTGTTGAAATATAGCCACAATAAGCAACCAGGGGACGCATTCAATGTCCAAGTCCAGAATAAAAAAAAAAAAAATTGTATGTATGGCACAAAAGTAACACTGATCAACATACTCAAACTCAAATATGGAGGTGGTAGCATTATGTTCTTGTATTTGTCAATACAAAATAGTTTGTTTATTGTCCACGATTCAGAATCACATTTGAGGCACGCCGGCTCACAACAGCATGAACGCACCTGTCAACACTCGATAGCTGCAGGTGGGCGTGGTTGACCTACATTTGTAATCTAGCCCCCAATTCATATTTATGTAAAATTGATAATAAGACCACTAGTGCAAATAAGTACCACATATTTCAATAACTTAACAGTAAATGATCACATTACATATTGCAATTGAATTTGGAATGATTAAAAATACAATATTGGATACATTTGTAGATGGGCTACACTGTCAAAGAAGAGTGTTGATGGGAAGGTGGGTGAACATCCATCCAGACATTTCTTATGATCTGTTGTTGAGGAATCATCAATGTTGTTAAGTCCTCTGATAAAACTGCTGTTGTGATTTATACCACCCACTGTCCAATTCTGTAACAACAACCATTTATAAAATAGGACAATGCCATTTTTATTCAAGAACATTCACAATTTTGACATCAAGATTTCAAAAGACTATAACTTGGTGGTTTGAGATAAAGGTAAACTGTAAATGAGAAATATCTTCAGTAGGAAGCAAAATTTGGGATGCTAAAGTTGATTGATATCTTATTTGCATATTGTGACATCATCAAGGTTGGAATTATTTCAATTTTTTTGGATACAAATTTCAAAAAGCTGTAGTTTGAGAGCGGGTTGAGGTAAGGGAATACTGTCAACACTCTGGAATATTTTTAATATTAAATAAAATTTAGGATGGAATAAAATCATTGATCCAATGTATTTGTTTTTAACACTGGTTGGTGGTCATATGGAATTGAAATTCAAAATGTCCCTTTCAAAGAACTGGTGGCATGTCTGTATGATTCAGTGGAAATGAGGCTCCAGAATTAATTGTTTAGAAACACACAAAAAGGATCTTCAAAGTTTCTGATTCTCTTCCTCTTCTCTCAAGAACTGCTTTCATCATCACAATAACTATCATAACCTGCGGTGCAGCAGAAAACGCAATTAACAACGTCAAGGTTTTTTCCCCACGTCTGCCGCTTCAACGCCAGTTGTTTCCATACTCGGTACTCACAAGTGTGGTGTTATAACCCCCCATGCCCTGCTTTGCGATCGCAGAATGCTTCCACCGCAGCCACGCCGAGGTGAAGCATCCGCTATACTGTGTGCTGTATCTATAAATGTGGGTTTAAAAAATAATTGATATCATGTCAAGGGCATAGACTGTCATGCCAGGTCACATAACACAGGCCAGATTTCCGGCACAGCGCTGGAAGTCATTAAGCCCTGTAAATGGTACGGCCCTACCTCCATCAGTATCATATGAACCAAACAGAGCACTGCACTTGCAAAACACCAGAATTCAAAAGGCAAAGTCAGAGTGTTTAGTTACCTACGCTGTTGAATCAGCTCCCCATCCACGTCAAGGAAGCAGACACAGTCTCTATTCATTCAAGGTCAGGCTTAAAACGTTCCTCTAATTCAGCATAGGGCTCAGTAGGTAATGCAAAAAACACAGATTGTCAGTCAAGCCACATATGAGGACCCCTGCTGGAGAAGTATGGTAACTTAAGCACTATCCTCTCCCATTCTAGTTATGTCATCATTATGACTTCAGTGGTAGTCTGTTCATGGCTATTCACCCACTGTCCCATGTCCATGTCTGTTTCATGATGCGCTTATGGGACCAGACTTCTTAGACCTGCACTTGTGAAATGGTCACACCCCGACCCAATGACTGCACCCGTCCCGCCTGGGAACCTCTTTAGTCCTGGATCTACAGCCATAGTCCTGGATCTATAGCCTGAGTCCTCGATCTACAGCCAGCCAGTCTGTGGGAGCAGATCTCTCTCAAAATCAGCCTCCTCAAGGTCTTTCATATAATTTCCTACTAGGTTTTTTGAGTCATTTGAGTCAGGCAGGAAGGTGTAATGCCAGTGATGATCCAGAAAAAGTATGGACTTGTGTGCACGTATGAAAATACATATAAATACTGGATGTATTAGGAACTGTTAAAGACAAATACTTCAATAATAAAATATATAGATCATAATGTATGTATCGGATCAGGACTCCGTATCGGCTGATACACTAATCTGACTGACCTCCTTCAGATCTCTACACCTCCATCTACTGCCCCTCCTCTCTCCCGCTCCCTTCTGCCCGCCTCTTCACCATGGAGAGTAGGGCCTTCAGTCTCCACTCTGCTTCCCAGCTCTGGAACACTCTCCCCCCTGACCTCCGTAAGACAAACTCACTACACAACTCAAAACACTTCAAATCAACTCTAAAAATTCATCTGTTTAGACAAGCCTACTCAATAAAGTCGTAACCACACAATCTTCTGCTCATACTGCATTTAACTTTGTATTTTAACTGTTTAAAAATACAATTTATACTTGTGTGTATTATTTTATTTTATCCTGTATAACATGATTTTTATTGTCAAATTTTAAATGTTGTGCTACATTTTCCATGGTACATGAGAAACTGTATAATGTGTCATCTTTGGACGTATTGTCACAGTTGTAATAGGAGTTAGGCAGTAAGTCTCAACTTCAGCCTTAACCCCTTTTGGTCAGGCATTATTTAGCACTAAAATTCTTAAGATGCATTACTTGTAGTTTTTTTTTCTCATATTGTAAAATATATATATAATCTGTGAAAACATGTGACCTGAGATCTAATGTACAGTAACAAACCAAAAGTTTGGACACACTTTCTCATTCAATGAGTTTCCTTTCTTTTCATGACTATTGACCGTAGACGCAAACCCAGGCTGAAGGAACTCTGGGAACTCCTTCAAGACTGTTGGAGACCATTTCAGGGCTCTTGAAGCTCATCAAGAGAATGCCAAGAGTGTGCCAAGCAGTAATCAGAGCAAAAGGTTTTACTTTGAAGAACTGAGAATATAAGACTTACAGTATTTTCAGTTGTTTCATACTTTTTTTAATAACACTGCTTGAGTTAATTCATAGTTTTGATGCCTTCAGTGTGAATCTACAATTTTCTTAATCTTGAAAATAAAAAAAGTTTGCCAAAAGGTGTGTCCAAACTTTTGGCATGTACTGTACATAGTGAGGCAGTAAAAAATCAAAACAACAGCAAAACTACTGGCATCCTCTCCAGAGATTTTCTTTGAAAGTAAGACATCAGGAGCTTCCTGTGTGTGCGTGCGTGCGTGCGTGTGTGTATGTGTGTGTGTGTGTGTGTGTGTGTTGTGTGTGTTGTGTGTATATGCTCTCAGCAGGGCCTGTTCTGTGAGGATTAATTAAAATGGAGAGAAGCCTGTAGGCGCTGCAGTGACATGAGCCGAGGAGAGAACCGACGACGCAGGACGTTATTATACAGCTCCCTAAACCTCACCACACATTCAGACTCTCTGGAAGTGTGTAAGGTTGTGGCATGGCTCAGCCCGCTTGGGAAAAGGCAATCAATATATGGGAACATGTGGGGAAAACAATGAAAAACTGGCTCAATTATAAAAAAAAATGTTTAAAAAAATGTTCACATCCTGAACACAACATGTCTACATGTAACACTTGATTTTGTGAGGAGGGCAGGGCGGACAAAGTTGTGACGAGAATTTCTGATATCACAGACAAAGCTAAAACCAGCTCATGGTGTTTCAGATAAGGAAACGATATTGGAACATTGTGTGATGGTAGAAATCACAAACATTGCTTAAATAATAAATAGAAGAACCACATTCAACGATTAAAGCCTTTTTAGATAATA